CTGACACCAGACTGTTAAAAAACTTGAAACTGAAACACAGTTAAAATTTTAAAGCATTTATTTGAGTAAGAAGCAATTCATGAATTGCAAAACACCAAACTGAAAGGTTTAGTGTTCAGATGACAAAGTGTTTATAGGGTGAATGCAGAAGCAAAAAAAAAAAAGAGAGAGAGAGAGAAATTATTTGATTGTTTACGTTTACAAAATTGCTTTTTTTGTTTGTTTGTTTTACTTTGTTGAAAGTCCTTAGACACATTATCATATGTTAGCTGGCTGCTTATAATTGGGTCATTTACCAGAAATGACCCACATTAGGTTTCACTTATATTTGCAGTTTAAGCAAGATTAAGGCTATTCTTAATGCCTGGTTGGTTTTGTTTCCTCAGGAATTTTTCAGGCCCAGTCTTCATTTTGTTTCAACAAGGTCAATGCTTATGTTGAATTCTTCAGCTGTGCCAACCTGCCTGTTGTAACTGTGGCATCACTCATTCTTCTAATTTTTCTGGATCACAGTGGAGAGCCTTAGAACCTTTCCATCATTCCTTTCCTTGTATGGACCATGTGAGAATCGACCGACAAGAAGCACTCAGGTGAGATTTGGATGGTGGGTGAGAAGGAGGACCATTCTCTGGCAGTGACAGCAGGGAGATGATGGGTGAACTCCAGCCATGTGTCATAGCAGACCAACACCTAGAAACACCCAGTTCAGCACCAGTGAGCTTCTCAGACCTCTGTCTTCCCAGCCCTCCAAGGGGTGTTCCAGCCTCTAATTCCCTGGATTAAAAGTACATCCTACGTTTAATACCTAGATGAGCTTCAGTTTTTCTAATCAAATCCTTCACATAAATGGAGGAAAATAAAATGTTCTTTGGAAACAATCAAGGCAAAGTAATAGCGGGATCTAGAACTGAAACTGAGCGTGTTCCAGTAATTTTACATCATATAATATGAGAGTGAGACTACTTACATCATGAGGAATGTGTGTGAAATATCTTGCTAAAATTCTTATTTGGCAGGTTTAAACAATTTTAAAACATTTATACCATTAATTCATATTTTGTTCTGAATTTACAGTCTCTTACAAATTTGGAAATTCTTTAAGACAAAACATTTCCATGTATTTATCACACAGTGTTTCTTAAATCACACTTCTTATCTAGTGCTAAATAAAAATACTTGCAAAATTTTCAGTTTTAAATCACTTAATATTTATTATTATTATAAAAATCTTGCCTCTATGGGCAATTTTTTGGTGACTTAATGGAAGATCTTTTATGTTTTATATAAATTTAGATTTTTAGTCTCTCCCCCAAATTTTCCAACAAAACTTTCCGTAACCAAGGTAATGATTTATTTTACCTTGTCTCCAACTTAAACTGGTTTTCTTTATTGTGCAAGAATCCAAGCTTTTTACAGACTGCTAAGTCATAAGCTAAGATCCTGTTTAAAATTGTTTAGAATTTTTTTGTTAAATATTTAATTTCTGGCTCCAGGTAACTAATTTTGCCAATTCTGTTTTTGATTGTTGAAAGGAAGCTTTTTATCAAGCTCTCTATGGATTTGCTGAAAATGTCTCTTTATTTAATATACTTCAATATATTTCTACTTTTTTTATACAACAGGCAGGGGGTGGTTGTTTTTGTTTTTTTGTTTTGCTGTACTTCAGCATATTCCAGTTGCTATTCATCATAAAATTTGCGACACATCTTCTTCCAGTCTATATTTCTCTTTCTGGTCCTAGTTATAGTACTAGCTGAATCATCTTCATTCAATTTTGCATGAGTATTATGCCTTCATTTTAGAAGTTAAAATTTGCCTATACTTGTTTTTACACTAAAAGTTAATTGAATTGCATTTTAAATAAAATAACCATTTAAATTCAGTTACCAATTATAATGTAGATGTACACTGTAACTCATGCTGTCTACATAAAATATTCAAATAAAGATATTACATCAGTGCTTAAAAAAAGATTATTCAAACTGAATCAAGCTGTTGACCCTGACGAGGTCAGTGATGCATTTACATGTGATAGTATAAACAATCTATGTGGCAATATATTCACAGCACAATATGGCAATTCAGATGCTCCTCAACTTATGATGGGGTTATGTCTGATAAACCTATTGTTAGTTGAAAATATTGTAAGTTTAAAATGCACTTAATACACCTAACCTCCCGAACATCATAGCATAGCAACACAGTACACTGTAGGGTATTGATAGTTTACCCTCCTGACCGCATGACTGGCTGGGAGCTGCAGTTTGTTGCTGCTGCCCAGCATCACTAGAGGGTTGTACCACATGTCATGAGCCCTGGAAAGGATCAAAATTCAAAATTTGAAATATGGTTTCTACTAAATGTGTAGCACTTCTGCACCATCATAAAGTTGAAAAATTG